GAGATGACAGATTGACAATTTTCACCTTAGTCAGCTGTGCCGGGCTGATACAGAACGGAGATTTTGTATCTTTCACGTCATTAAAACCTCTCCTTGCAGAGATGCCTATTAGCCATAACAAACTACAAAAAATGCACATCCTCTCTCCCCTAATTCTGATAGACACACCCTGTCTCAACCGGCTGCATGAGTCTGTTCCACACAAGCTGCCCACACGTCAGCCAAAGCTAAACTAACCCCCCTCTACGGAACCTCCAAAGCGGTCACCATCTCCCCAACTATCTGAACCTGACCTTCAAGAGGAACCCATGGAGCAGGTTGTAGAATGCGTGAACACCAAGACCGTGCCTGCAAACATAAAAACACAATGGTGAGGGTTAATCCTGAACTAAGTCAGGCACAGGCGTACCGGGCCCACCTTCGAAGATGTAAAGAGCTTGGGAGGCCTGTAAGGACATTAAGGGCATTTAGAAGCAAGAGGCAGCGACTCTCTTAAGTTAGTGTTTCCATTTTTGAAAATTTATTTACATTTCCCTTCATCAGCAAATAACTAATGTGTGCCTTTTATATTTGCAGTCCATCCGGGAGACTTGACACATTGACCTGTTCCTGTTGAGTTGTGCGACTCCCTGTGGTAAGTGCTGCCTTTTTGACACTTTAATCACTCTTACCTTTGTCAGAACATCAGTAATAGCTGCCTTTTTATATTTGCCGATCATCCAGAAGACTTGACACTTACCTGTTCCCAGACACTTACCTCAATGTTGCCAAAGAGCATGGTTAAAAGTGTGTTTTTTCTGTTTGTTTACAACTGGCAATCATGTTTCTTAGTTGCAATTTCTTAAATTTTCTTCAATTCACACATGTCCCAAGCAGGGGCGGTGCCAGATAATTTTGAATGCAGGTGCTGAGGGGGTGCTAGATCATTGACAGAGGTAGTATTTTGTAATATTCTCTAATTATGTAGTCTGCATGAAAAGGTGCATTTCTATTAAAGGCACGTCCATGTGGAGATGGCGAGTCAGCGTCGGCATTCGGCAACTTCATCTTTGCAGACTCAGAAAGCACTAGTTTATTAATAAATAATTAAAATGTCTTCTTTTTCCCCTACACATTTTTAATCACTTTGCCGGTGCTGAGAGGCAACTGCTTTATGCGCGAGCTTGAGGGAGGAATAGGCTATAATACACCTGCCTATATATTAAAGGATGGTTTAGTATATTATTTTATTAATCAATTTAATATAACGTGTGACTAGTTGACTAGAAAAATCTTTAGTCGGAGGCAGGCCTACTTTGCACAAGCGCTCCATTTTTAAAATAACTGCTATAATGACATTACGAAAAGTGTGACAGCTGCAAATAACGTTGTTATTGCATTTACATTTACATTTACATTTAGTCATTTAACAGACGCTTTTATCCAAAGCGACTTACAAACGAGGACAATAAAAGCAGTCAAAACTAACAAAAGAGCAACAATATATAAGTGCAAATGACAAGTCTCGCTTAGCCTAACGCAGTACACATAGCAAGGTGTATATATACAGTGAACAAAATTTTAAACGCAACACTTTTGTTTTTGCCCCCATTTTTCATGAGCTGAACTCAAAGATCTAAGACTTTTTCTATGTACACAAAAGGCCTATTTCTCTCAAATATTGTTCACAAATCTGTCTAAATCTGTGTTAGTGAGAACTTCTCCTTTGCCGAGATAATCCATCCGCCTCACAGGTGTGGCATGCATTTCTAATTGGGTGTGCATTGCACGGAATGGAGAAACAATTTATGATCAGCTTAATTAGTGAACAAACCATAAGCACAAACATAAATAGAGTGCTACAAAGATGATGTATTTTTGCAGGTCAAAACCATAAACAAGTTGCATTTTAGCACTTCCAGATTCATTGTCCGGAAGTCAATGGGTTTTTGGATAAATACCAGAAATAAAGTCTGTGGTGAACACAATATATTTTAACATTTGATTGTGTCACAAAATACTTTAGTAATACCCTTTTGTGTGTGTGTGTGTGTGTGTGTTTTTTTGGTCTTGAAAAAGGCGGTTGCTAAGGTGTCTAAATGGGACTACAGATGTTGTCAGGACATTAAACATCCTCACACTGAACAGATAAACCCATTCGTCACTTTCACAGACTTGTGTTTATAATTGTGATCTTGCAAACTATTCTAACTCAAACTCAGAGAACATGTTTTAAAAAAAGACTGAAAGAGTTGTCAGAACTCAGTGATGGTGACGTTGAAGTCGTGACTGTTCTGTAGATTATTTATAGTCTACGTTTACATTTTTACTTCTGTCGATTGTATTTAGACTTTCTTTTCATAAAAGCCGTTCATTTGTAAAGACTATCATGATAAAGAGCATGTGTAAGAATCATAAACTTCACAGCATTTTTTTGCAATAATCCAAAAGCTGATGGGAAATTGGGTTTTTGTCGAGGGAACCAGGGAGATGTGATCTTATTGGTTGGCCTACAATAACACATCATCACTGCAGCACACTATTAATGTAAAAAGCACCATGTGGAACATGCTGGAAACAGGAATTATACATCAAATCATGTTGCCTTGAGGAGATTTGTGCTATTATTTTTCTAAGCAACTGGACTGAAGCAATCACCAAAAGTGCATAAGCCATAATGATCCAAGCAGGTAAACATTTTCAAAAAAGGTCCACATACTATTAAAAAAAACTGGGGAACAGCATACGTTTTGGTCACAATATGGCCTTTCTTGGTGCCTAAAGCAATTGGACTAAAATGGATAGAAATCCCGTAGACTTACATCCATTCACATTATTTAAACTTATTTATTTTTAAAATCATGTTTAACAGCAGAATTCCTGAATACTTAAAAAAATACTTCCAAGGCCACTGAAATAGTGAGCGGACCCTAATGCACCCTAAATGAAACCATACCTAAATTCATCTCTAATGCCCCAAAATGTAATTCTCACAAATGCAGTTCTGTTCATGATCACACTTATGAGTCAAATGCAAAAAATAAGGTGATTCAGTAAAAAGAACAATGTCCTGCAGTCGAAGGTCAACTGCTGCTGCATGCTGATATCTAGGCTGATAGCCAGAGAGAGTGAGAAGAAAGAAAAAAAAACACAAGTGTGCAGGATTAGGTTGAGTGACCAAAGAGGTGCTTGCAGGTGTGTGAGTGTGTGCAGACAGGTGGTGCTATTAGAAACAGATCTGGGCCTCCGTGCACTTAATTGTTTTGAATGTGCACAGGCATCTTAGAAGAAAAAAACTGTACTTGCAAACAATATAATATTAAAGGGGTCATATGACGTTGCTAAAAAGAACATTATTTTGTGTATTTGGTGTAATGAAATGTGTTTATGCGGTTCAAGGTTAAAAAAACACATTATTTTCCACATACTGTACATTATTGTTGCTCCTCGATGCCACGCCTTTCTGAAACGTGTCGATTTTTCAATCAATCAATCAATCAATCAACCAAACAGTCTGGCCGCAGAATTTTGAACCATTTTGTATAGTGATGGGGACACTATACTGTCAAAAAGCACCGTGTCCTTCAGATGAGACGTTAAACCGAGGTCCTGAGTAGGGACGTGCACAGACATTTTGAGGGGCAGGGGCTCAAGTGGAAAAAAGGGCACTTCTCCTATTTATTTAAATTTATTTCTAATCAAAACGTAAAAAATATTAAGTGTGTGCAACATTGACAAAAAATATATCTCCTTGCAGCACAGCAGTGTAGCACACCCTGATCGGCACATCACAGTCACAGACATGCAGAGAGCCGCAGAAGTGAAGCCCTCCCTCCCTTTCCAGTTATGTTTGTCTTAGTGTGGAGGTGAGTGGTGATGAACAAAAGACTAAGCTACCTGTGCCTAGAATTTACAGTAGGGTGACCATATGTGCCATTTATACGGGAGACGTCCTGGCCATGATTTTCACAATGACTATCCTTAAAATTTGTCATGCACAGAAAACTTGCACACTGAGTTCGCGCGTATTAATTAATCCATTGTGAAAAAAAATCACAAAACAATACAAAATTAAGTGGATCAAAAAGAAGAAGTGGATCAATTTGTCAGACGCCATTCTGGATTTTGGCATTCGCATGTACGGTGGCTCTGAATTGTCAAAACAGCTCTCAAATGCTTGCTACGGATGCGAAAAAAGCAGTAAATCGAACCCGATCTGAAGAATGTTCATTGCGTCGGGGGATGCTGTTCCTTGTTTTAAAGGCTTTACTCTGATAATGGTGAGTGAAACAGTGTTGGTGTATCAGCTTCATCAGGATGACACACGCTGCTGCTGCTGCTGCTGCTGAGTGTTTCTCTCTCTCTCTCTCTCTCTCTTACCATTTACTTTATTTGCTTAATATTTCCTTCTAATAATTTATTAGACCGAACTACTAAACAAAAAGCTAATGCCGATTAGGAAACCAGAGCTCCTGTGTGTTCTCAGAAATAAAAAAGATATGTCCTGGTGCTGTCACAATAAAAGCTGCTTCTGATGCTTATCGGTCTGTGCTGATAATTATTTTTAATATATATATATATATATACAGTGGGTACGGAAAGTATTCAGACCCCCTTACATTTTTCGCTCTGTTATATTGCAGCCATTTGCTAAAATCATTTAAGTTAATTTTTTTTCCTCATTAATGTACACACAGCACCCCACATTGACAGAAAAACACAGAAGGGTCTGAATACTTAGGACCATGTGATATTTCAGTTTTTCTTTTTTAATAAATCTGCAAAAATGTCAATTCTGTGTTTTTCTGTCAATATGGGGTGCTGTGTGTACTTTAATGAGGAAAAAAAATTAACTTACATGATTTTAGCAAATGGCTGCAATATAACGAAGAGTGAAAATTTTAAGGGAGTCTGAATACTTTCCGTACTCACTGTATATATATATATATATATATATTGGTTGGCCACTAATAGAGTTTCTTTATTTCAGTTGCACATGACTCTTTGCCGTTTACTGCTCTTCTTAGACAAAGGTCAGATCATTCCGAAAGCTGATGGTTTCTTGGATCAAGAGCAGTGGGTTCCTCAGGAGTGTGCTGCTGTCCAGCAGTCACGCGTATCACAGAGACGACCAACAGCTTCATGGGTAATCAAACACTGAGGACAGAGATGATAGAATAGAAAAGTAATTAAATGCCATGTATTCGTGCTACACAAAAGTGTTTGGACACTTAAGCCACATTACAATTGTATAAATGTTATTGGGTAGCACACTTTTCAGCTAATACATTTAATGTAACATTTTTTTTAAACCATAAAACAATGTACAATGAAAATAAAATCAAAAAGTATTGTGCCACTTTCAAACCTTAGTGGATGATGTTGATAATTGATGGAGAACTTCATAATCATATATCCACTAAAAATCACCATAACACCCAATGATTTAAATATTTTTGTGTGTTACTACAAATGTTAATGTTGCCGATTTCTGCTTTTTTTGTGTGTGCAGCACTCCTCTGCGGTACCTGCTGACCCCGTCTCTGCAGAAGGAGGAGGCTCAGAGGGTGGAGGAGCTGGGCTGGAGGGAGATGGAGAGGATCAGTGCGTTTCCCGGGATCTCTGACTCAGAGCAGCGGCTCTACATTCCCGGAGGAGGAGTGACCAAAGCCCTCTACACAGACTGGTAAAAACCGGCATAAAATTCAACCATTGTGTCAAATCTATAATTGTGAATCCGGCCAATGTGAGTTTTTTTTTTTGTGGTCTGGTCCAGCTGCACAGAGGACATCTCTATGGCAGTAGTGCTGATCTTCTGCTCAGAAGGAGACAACATCCCTGACGCGTTTGCTCTCGTTAACCATCTCAATGACTGGCTCCATCTGCTGGAAAAACCTGTAAGTGTGAGAACATGCGGTGAATCTGAATCATGAATTAACATTTTAGCTGTTATGAAACAAAGTCTTGTTGCTATCCTGAAGCACCATTGGATAGAATTGAGCTTTTAAAACCTGAATCTGTTTATAATTTCAGAAGTGAAGGTTTCTTCTGTCTAGACTGAAAGCTGTTGTTTGTTAATGGTGCGGTTTTCTCTCAGACGCAGGGTTCAGTGCAGTGGCGGGTTCCTCCCTCTTGGAGGCTGCTGTTCGGCAGCGGTATCCCTCCTCTTCTCTTCTGAAGCATCACGCTTGCATGTGGATATGCCTGATGCAACTCTTGCAGGTGTGACTGTTTTAAACATGAACCCCAGAAATCACTGATGGTTGAGCGGTCAAACTGCACAAAGCGCTGAATACACATTTTGCTTTTAAGTAAGTGAAATAGTACAGAAATAAGCTGTAGCATTATTTTTTTGCCAAATCATGTGTCCCGTGTCGTTTTTTTTCTTTAGAACGCTAGTTATGCTGTTTAGTTTTCCTCTCTCTCCACCCACCGGTGGATGTCTCTGGCTCTCTGCCACCTGAGTTTCCCAGCAGAGTAGCTCTTCTTGTAATGTGACGCAGCTCTGAACCTGCTCGGCAGTGTTGTGTGCGTGACATTCTTGTGGGAAGAAAGTGAAAACATTTTAAAGCCCCTCCTCCATAGTTTGGCCATTGTTTTCTTTGTTGGTGCACCAAAAATGGCCATGTTAGCAGTGTCAAGTCATGTCCCATCATGACGCAAATGAAATAAAGCGCTGAATCAAACAAAAACACCCACCTTTTGTTGTTAGTACGATTTTTTTTTTAAGTAATTGATACCCCTATTCAATAAGGATGCATTAAATTGATCAAAAATGACAGTAACGACTTATTTCTCTCACTTTTTCTATTTTAAATAAATGCTGTTTGAACTTTCCATTCATCAAAAAATCCTTAAAAAATGTATCTTGGTTTCCACAAAAAAATATTAAGCAGCATAAACTCTTTTCAACATTGATAATCAGAAATATTTCTTGAGCAGCAAATCAGCATATTAGAATAATTTCTGAAGGATCATGTGACTGAAGACTGGAGTAATGATGCTGGAAATTCAGCTTTGATCACAGCAATAAATTACTTTTTAAATTATGTAAAATATGACGTTTGAAGGTGCCATAGAATGGAAAACTATTTACCTTGGCATAGGTGAGTAATAATAGTTCTGTACATGGAAATGACATACCGTGAGCCTCAAACACCATTGTTTCCCCCTCGTGTAAGGTTTACACAGATCACGTGCGATCACAAAACTTGAAAGTGAAAGTAAAACGCGATTGTGCATTCGAAAGCAGTTTCAATGCCCCGCATATTAATAGCAGCTCCCTGATGTCCGTATTTTATATACAGTATAATTATCCAATGATATAACGGCGAGAGAAAGTATTGAAATATATTTTCCCTGTGTTTCCTTCCTGCTGTGTGAGCTACTGAAATGAGCCGCTGTGAAACAGCCAATCAGAGCTGAGCTCAAAATTATTATTCATGACCCTTCCAAATATGGTAATGACAGAACATTTCATTCTAGAGACAAATCCTAGGGTTGTAAATGGACATGGAAAACCATTTCATGTCCGTATTTTATATACAGTATAATTATCCAATGATATAACGGCGAGAGAAAGTATTGAAATATATTTTCCCTGTGTTTCCTTCCTGCTGTGTGAGCTACTGAAATGAGCCGCTGTGAAACAGCCAATCAGAGCTGAGCTCAAAATTATTATTCATGACCCTTCCAAATATGGTAAAAACAGACCATTTCATTCTAGTGACAAATCCTAGGGTTGTAAATGGACATGTAAAACCGTTTCTGGAGATTTTTTACCCTTACCTAAGCCACATACCTTCTATAGGTGCATTTTCGGGAGATTTTTTTTTGCCCTTGCCTAAGCCACATACGGTCTATGTACAGTGGTGTGAAAAAGTGTTGGCCCCCTTCCTGTTTTTTTTATTTTATTGCATATTTGTCACACTTAAAAGTTTCAGATCATCAAAAATTAATTTTTCACGTAGGGCCAGGCAGGTTTGGACAGCTTTTTTCCCTTAATAAAAGAAATCATTTAAAAACGCCATTTTGTATTTACTTGCATTATCTTTGTGTAATATTTAAATTTGTTTGATGATCTGAATCTTAAGTGTGACAAACATGCAAAAAAATAAGAAATCAGGAAGGGGTCCAACACTTTTTCACACCACTGTAGATATCAGAGAACAATTTGAAATATTGTATTGTATTCAATGCATTCTATGGCACCTTTAATGTACTTTCTAAGCAACTTCTTTCAAAAACACTAAAAATCAGCAAACAACAAGAGAAACTATGGAATATGGTACAGTACAGCTAGTTAAGTCTGCAGGAAGATTTAAATGGCCATCATCTTAGCCTGGTGTGTGACTGTTTGAAAAAGGTGAATGAAACAACACATTGTTACAGAAACTAAATGATAGCAGTTTTATTCATGGATCCTACTCTTGGATAAAGTAAAGTAAGACTCTTCAACACAAGACACTGCTGGTTTGTTCTGTGTCGTAACCAAATGCAATGTCTGTTCATCATTTTGTACAAGGTTTTTTTTTTTTTTTTTAACACATCTCATAAGGTACACTATGTACACAATGTGAGCACTCTTCAGCTTAAGACGTCATTTAACAACCTCACAAACTGGATTTGAGCATACAGCCCTGTAGATATGATAGGAAATTTCAAGTAATTTCTTATAAAAAATAGAGCATATCATTTTGCCTCTGAAAAAAAGTCGTCTAAAAATACAATGTGTGAACAGC